TTGGGGGCACTGATTGGATTTACTTAACAGGGTTGTTGAGGGCAGTAAATGACTTGATCCAGGTAAAGCACTTAGAGCAATTCCTGGCTCTTAGAGAGCAGGTAACAATTGTTAAGCATATTATTGGCTACTTCTTCTCCCCTTCCTCCTTCCTTACTGCCTTTATCCTACAAACATTTATGGAGTAATTGTGTGGAGGAACCAGGAAGCCAATGAAGGAGACACCAGATGTATAAAACCAGGATTTACAATTAAGCTTTCAATGACCAACTATGCTACTAGAAGGAGAAAAGACCCAGCTACAGCCATGAGAAAGCTCAAAGAAAAGGAGGGTGAGAGCAGGTGAACAAAGAGTCTACTGTCACCAATGTGTCCGCGTTTCATTTTCCCCGGTGGTAGTCATCATTTATTTATTCAGCACATGTTTATTGAGCACATACTCGGTTCAGTGCACAGCACTAAGTGCTAAGGTTAAAAATAAAAGGGAGTAAAATATGGATTCCCCACCAACAGCTAAAACCAAAGTCAGAAAACAAGAGACGTGATAAATAACAATAAATATGATGATAGAAGGCAGAAAATGTATGTTATAAGGAAGGAAAAAATTCTTTATAGTTCATTCATACAGTTAGTATAATAATCACTCAACAGTTATTGGACAAGAAGAAGTTGATGTGATATAATCTCATTTTTAAAACTTTATATCAGCATGGGAGACCAAGAAAGAGAACCTGGGTGAGTTGGGTAAGATGTATTTTTATTTCCTTCCTTTCTTTGTAATGGTTTTATAATAAAATATTTTAATAAGAGAAAGCTTATTGAAGAAGATGTTACCAAGTGCCTTCCAACGTTTTGCTAGGAAGCTCACACGGTCCTTCTGCAGGCAGTGCAGTTTAGTGAAAAGAAAATGAACAGGGCAGAGGTCCCACCCTTGCTTTCTGGTTGACTTTGAACAAGTCATTTAACTTCTTAATATTAATAACTTCAGTTTGCTGTCTATAAAATGGGGATCATAATAATTGCATTGCTCCAGTCTCTAAAAAGGGTGCTAAAGAGATACAATTAAATAATTAATGGGAGTGTTTTATAATATAAATTCTACCATAAGTGGGAGGCTATATACAACAAAGCTATTGAATGGATAATGCAGAAAAATGAAATAAGACTTTATTATTGGTAAAACAAAGGTCATTGCTATGTAAACACATATTCTATGTCAGCTCCTAATGGTGGACACCACGTAGAGCAAGCCCTTTAGATTTTATTTCCGGATACCCTCAGCACCTGGGACCATGCTTTTTATGTGATAAAGATTCAGTTAATATCATTGGTAAAATGGTTTTAGAAGTTGTAATAATTTTCAAGAGCTTTGATAATTAGATTTTTAAATTTCTATTGTATAGAAATAAATTTGAATCTTATTCTACTTTGAAATAACTCAGACATCAATTATTGACTCCATTCCCATATCTGAGCATTTATTCGTATGACATTCCTCTTTATTCTTTTTTCCCCAACTACAGAACACAATATATAGAAAAGCATATAATTCTAAACAGTCATAATTTTAAAAGCTAAAGTCAATGGCCTGAAAACTAGCCTGGATTTAGCCCTTTCTCTCTTTTCCCAGTTATACTACACTTTTTAGACAGCCTTGTGCAAGGCACATGGTAGAGACTCCTTCTAGAGTTTGTTGAACTGCCCTGAATTCGAAATTTTAGGGCAAGAACTTTAACTTACACTTTCACTTACTAGTTAGGCTACCAATATTTTGGGGTTCAGGCAATTCCCATTAACATCCTTATTTCTTTCTCTAACAAATGAGGCTGATAATTCAAGCCATCTATTTAATTTGAAAAGATGTTATGAGGATTCCATTTTAGCTGCTGCCAAACACTTTGGTATTCTCGGGTGATAGAAGATGTACGAGCACAAAGTGTAATAACCACTGATTAAAATGTCACCCCTGGGTTTACCTATCAATCAGCTATAGGAAAGAATAAAAGGAAAGTGCACAGTCTCAACTTTCCCTCTCAACTTTTCTCTGTGTAAGTCTCATCTACATACATCTCTTTACAACCTAAAATAGTTTCTATGGATGCTTTGCCTCTTTCACATTGAAGTTGAGAGCCTAGACTGGGAGAGGAAGGTAACAGTCTGCCAGGGGGAAAATCTACAGAAATAAGCTTTTGTACTTACAAAATCCACGAATAAAATGGTATATTGGGCCGGGCGCAGTGGCTCATGCCTGTAATCCTAGCACTCTGGGAGGCCGAGGTGGGCGGATTGGTCAAGGTCAGGAGTTCGAAACCAGGCTGAGCAAGAGCAAGACCCTGTCTCTACTATAAATAGAAAGAAATTAATTGGCCAACTAACATATAAAGAGAAAAAATTAGCCGAGCATGGTGGCACATTCCTGTAGTCCCAGGTACTTGGGAGGCTGAGGCAGGAGGCTCGCTTGAGCCCAGGAGTTTGAGGTTGCTGTGAGCTAGGCTGACGCCACAGCACTCACACTCTAGCCTGGGCAACAGAGTGAGACTGTCTCAAAATAAAATAAAATAAAATAAAATAAAATAAAATAAAATAAAATAAAATAAATGGGATATTGATGTATCTCTTTAAGGAGTTTGAGATGCTTTGTTTCTTGTGCTAAATGTCATTGCTAACCTTTAACTGTACTTCAAAAAGAAGGTAAAAAGAAGAACAGCTGGCTAAAATTTCATAGTTTTCCTAATAAAATCAAGCACTCAACTAAAGTAAAAGGTGCTGATTTCTTGAATGTTTTCCTTAGAAAATCCAAAGTGTTGTAAGGCGATCCATCCAGTTGTCATGAGGTATTAACAGGGAACCGAGCAGAGCTGCGACATCTAGGCCTGCCCATGTGAGCTGATTTTCCTGTTCACAGTGCCAGTTTGGGCCTCTGAAGGAAAGGGGAAACTTGTTTCTTCTCCTTATCTTATTAATATTCAACTCACAGTACAAATTCCACGGTACAACCTTTCAAAGACCCTAGTACACAGGGAGAGATAAACAGTAACGGGGAGCTCCATGACTGATTTCCTAAACACAGGGTAGCAGGGAGTCATTCTCATGTGGTGAGTGTATGTGTGTGTCAAGTAAACAAGATGTAAAGGCAGGGGAATAAACGTTATTATTATTTTCAAGATCAGAGCTCAATACAACCTCCCTAGTTCTACGCTGTCTGTCGTTAAAGTTGAGGGCATAACAGGAGCATTTGACGACTTGATAACTGGGACCCAAGGAGAGTCTTTAACCACTCTGCTCCCCAGCCTCTCCTCTCACCTTCCGCATCTGTGTAACAGGAGTCGTCTATTTCACCAGCTCACGAGGATCTCTGAGGAAATGCCCACTCTCACTACCAGCTTCAGTTAAAAACATCACATCAATGGAAAGTGTTATTATATTCCAAGATGTATTTGAAATGGATACTTTCACCCTAGAATTCTTTTTAAAAAATTGACCAGATGATCTAACGTGTATATTTGTGTGCTAACTTCCATGGGAAGAAAAGCTAAGTATGATAGAGGAAACACTGTCTTGAAAATGGACTCAAGCTTTCTTCTGTTTCATTTGGTGATCCCTGTTTGATTAAAGAATTGTGATTGCAGAATAGGATTATGCGAACTTGAAATTCATAAAGATGCTAGACACTCTTAGTTAACAATGATGGTTAAGGATCGGTGTGTTATTTTAACTAGATGTTTCTTATTCGATGATGGTTACTGCCCATTTTATCTGTGGTTGACAATTTGGGTCATAAATAAAAATATACAACCTTGAAATCTTGATGGAAATAGTTCAATCTCTGAAAATTCAGCAAGGACTTTGGGATCTTGTAATGCCTCAGTGTCCTTAGGATAAATTACAGTCATCACTATCTGGATTCACGGTTTAGAAAATATCCCCCCCCAAAAAAAAAAAATGGGTAGAATCTCAATTACTACTGACCTAATGACAGGTCCTGGACTCTTTTTTTTTTTTTTTTTTTTTTTCATTTTTAAATCTTTGATATTACCTTGCTTGTTTCTCATTTGTCTTTACTAGAAGAGGATTTCAGAAAAGCCAGAATAAAATGATATAGGTGGTTTTGGTTATTAGTATCATGATTAATAGATAAAAGTTGCAGAGGCTGAATGAACTAGGGAAAAGAGATTGAGGATTCTAGGCCTCTGTTTCCCAGAAATGAGCCATGGGGCCTGGAATGACCCTTTAAACTCCCTGAATATCAAAGTCCTCATTGATTAGAGAAAAGTAACAAGAATGACCTAACAAATGTCACATCTTGGGATTTTATGATACTTAGGGTATAAAAAACCACCCATTTGTGAAACTTTTGTGAAATAGAATTTAGTGGGAAGATGAATCAATTAGGGTGAGGAGCCTAGATTCTAGTTATTGATGCCACTAACCAGCTGAGTGACTGAGCCAAAGTAAACCCTTTCCAAAACAGGAGGGAGAATAAAAGAAATCAAATTAAAGTTTTAAAAGCTGAGTGATTTCATGAAAGCCACCTGTTAACCTTTCTGGATCTCAATTTTCTCACCTAAAATATGAAAGTGCTTGACTAAATAACCTCTGGAATCTTTTAGGTCTAAATTTCAATGTTTCTGTATCATGTTACAAAAATGTTGGGTCATTTTCTAGATTTGCTGTATCACTATGAAAGTCTAATAGCCATTTTCTACACTAATCACTGTAGAGATTGATCAATTAGCAATAGATAACTTCCAATCTATTCACCTGCGACTCTTCAAAATAATTAATATCATCCAGGGTGTTCATTGCCAGAAAACTGAGTCTTGCTGATGGGCCATTTCATTCACTTCTTGGTTCCATAAATATTTGCTGAGTTTCTCTGCCTTCTTAGATGATGACTACACCATTTGACTACTTTAAATCATATATTCTACTTTAAGAAACACAAACACTTACCTTCTTTGCGTTTCTTCAACTATAAAATTGTGATTGTGGATACTTACCTCCATTAGAGAAGGGCTTTGATGACTCAAGACATTTGTAAGGTGCACTGAGGTCCTTGACGAAGGCACTCCATCTGTTCCAGAGTGCAATTAACATTATGAGTTTACTAAAAGAAACATAAGAGTCATTGTTAAAGAGCATCATGGGGGCTGTCTCGGCCTTTAGTCATAAGACACTTCTGATGTAGAGGAAGGTAATAATTTATAATAGCTACTAAAAGTGACTTGAATATGAAAAGAGTTAGTTGTTTTTAAACTCAATATAGCCTTTTATTAATTAAAGGAGTATCCATGGTAATATAGTCAACATGTTTTATTTTTGAACTAATAAGGAAAACAATTACATGACATGCTCTAGAGGAAATGTTGAATCCTATGAAAGCTAACAAGGTAATATTCATAAGACTTAGATATGCTATTCTTTAGGGAGCTCGGTCGCTGTAGAGCTGAGAAAATTCCTGTTCCTCTGGTCAAGAGTAGAGAGATGCCTTTTCCACCACCTTTTATATGTGTTTTAATTCTGCAACACGCAACATCGCTGTTGGGAAAAGGGGTAACTATTCCTCCAGAAACCTAAGTCTGATTGTTTGGCAATGACAACGGAAAGGTTTACCTAATCCAAGCACCCTCCCTAGGAGGCAGGTCTCTGGGCAAGCCTCAGGGATCCAGAGAATGACTGTCAGACAACTCCTGCTAGGTCAAGCCTAAGCGCATTGTCCACACTTAGGTGCTGAGTCAAGATTCTTAATGATGATGATGATGATGATGATGAAGATGGTATTACTTATGAGGATATGTGATTATCCTAATGACTTGGGGATGAGAGGTAATTGTACTCACAAATGGTTGACAATTTAGTGCCTCTCATCTCCAGTAACAGAGGAAACAAAAGAAGGAAGAAAATTTCCATTCTTTTCATTCTTATTCCAGACATGTCTTTGTGTGTGTGTGTGTGTGTGTGTGTGTGTGTGTGTGTCAAGGGGTGTTCCAATATTAGAGAAAAAAAAAAAGATGATGAAAATAATTAATTAATAAGCCTTCTGAGAAGTTAATTAAGTTCATATTCATCATTGTATCATTCAAAAGCAGAAGCCTGAAGTAATAAGATGAAAATAATAATAGAATGAGAATTAAATATTATGCATGCCCCTTTAGTTTCTATCATATCTCTGGCATTATTCTATTTTGCTATTGGAACAGTATGAATCACATTTTCATAAAATGAAATCATTGAGGAGTTTGGGGAGAGAGGGAAGGAGTGGGGATGAATACGTGGAACACATGAAATTTTTAGGGCCCTGAAACTATTGGGTTTTGGGGGGGGGTTGTTTTATGAGACAGAGTCTCTCTCTATCGCCCCAGGTGGAGTGCAGTGGTGTCATCATAGCTCACTGCAACCTCAAACTCCTGAGCTCAAGCAATCCTCCTGCCTTAGCCTCCAAGTAGCTGGGACTACAGGTGCATGCCACCACACCCGGCTAATTTTTTCTATTTTTAGTAGAGACAGGGTCTTGCTCTTGCTCAGGCTGGTGTGGAACTCCTGAGCTCAAGTGATCCTCCTGCCTCGGCCTCCCAGAGTGCTAAGATTATGGGTGTGAGCCACTGGGCCTGTGTTATAGTAACAGTGGATACGTGGCCATATCCATTTATCAAAACCCATAGAACTGGGCAATGCATACAGTGAAGACTAATATAAACTATGGAATCTAATTAATAAAAATATATCAATATTTATATATATTAATATTTATATTTATGGTTCATCAAGTATAAAAATCTGTCACCCTAAAGCAAGATGTTAATAATAGGGGAAACTGTGGGGTTGGAGAGAGAGGAAGTACTAGAAACTCTCTTTCTGCTTAATTTTTCTGGAAACCTAAAACTGCTCTTAAAAATAAAGTCTGTTTTTAAAAATTTGAATCATTGTCTGTTCCAAAAAGAATGGAAAACTTTAATGTTACTATATACACATGCAATTTAAATTAAAGGAGGTTATATTTTTGAAAATACCAAGGATATCCCGTTATTGCAGAAGCAGTAATATCAAAATCCAGCTTCCTTTAGCCCATGTGTAAATGTGACATGCTGAAAAGGAGCAAGAAAACCACAGAGTTCTCAGTGTACTTTGAACCAAAAAATGAATTGAAGTGCCAGTTTTAAAAATAAGTATCAATGATGATCACCATGAAATTTGTACCTCTATTCCTCAGTCCAGAACTAAAAATAAAATATAATATTTTATATAATATAAGACTTCCATATTTTTGGTCAATGTAGGTATAGCTATAAGATAAACAGGGAAGAAGTTAACTAGATGACACAGACAACTGAACTCTGTGTTCTGGATTTTTTTGTACTTCCTATTCTGGGAATCTCATAAACCAAGATTTAAATGTCATGGGAAAGTAGAAATCATACACTGTTCTTTAAGGTAAGTCATTGAGAATCAAATGGTTATGGTATATTAACAATATTTCAAATTTATGTAATGTCTCTGTGTCCTGAGTCATCTCAAGAACAAGTAGGATTCTGGTTACAACAAACCATTGTATAAAGATTTTGAGGATTACCAGGGCCCAGAACTCCATAATGACTAAATATGAAAGAGACACTCTCTTGGTCCTTCTCCATATTATTGTCCTTTTAGGTTGTGCGGTGGTCATTCAGAGTATTCTGATGTGGCCAACCCAGGAAAAATTAAGAAATAGGTCGAATTTGACTTTGGAATACCTCCAGGGATAACTTACTTCCTTTATTCTTAGAATCAGGTTCTTGGTTTTCCCACTGCCCAGGGATTTTTTTTTTCCTTCTTGCCACTAAAACATTTGCTGTTCTTTGTCCCATCTTGTGTTGATCGCTTGAAAGACAGGGCCCCACCATGGTGGCCTACATGGGCCTTTCTTCTTAATTGGTGTTCCTGCTCCTCCACCAATACCACGCATTGATTTACTCATTCTTAACTCACTCATTTTTTATTCATTCATTCATTCACTCATTTAATCACATATATATTCACCATGTATATATTGAGCACCTACTATAAACTAGACACCAGGCTAGGCTCTTGGATATTGCAAGCAATGAAAGAGATGTAATCCCTGTACTCATGGAATTTACAACCTATTTAGACAGACAAACATTAAACATAAATCACACAAATAAGTATGTAATTAAAATATTCATAAGTGTTACATAGGAAAATGCGGAGTTCTGAGAATGTGTAAACTAGAGGGAACTATTCTGAAGGTGTTTGAGTAAGAGTTGGCCAAGAGAAGTTTAAGGCTGTGATTTTTTTTATTTAGTCTAGCCTGACATCAACATGCTGAAACCTGCCAGTCTTGCATCTCACTTCTTGAAGACAAAGCTCCCTATTCTTTTTAAAGATGCAATTAGCTAATCTAATAAATTCATTGTAGTATTGACATGCTGTAGAATGAAAGCACCTGATGATGCCTTCAGAGGAAGGCATCTTCTCTGAACAGCTCCATATGTTCACATCAAGAGAGACATCAAGCTCCTCTGGTATCCATAAATCAGTATTTCTAACTGTGGAAATGTGAAATCAATTATGATGGGAGAGCTGATGGATGGGCTAATTTGGCCAGAGCGGTTCATGCTGCAGTCAGCTGCCTCCTTTATCTTTACCAGGGTTAGATCTGATGGTAGATGTTGCCAAGGGGAAGGGAGACATCCTGGTCTCCCTTGCCAGGTCTCCCAACTTGTCCATAAGCCAGAAAAGAAAGTCCCTGAAAAAAAAATCGCCATGACACACCTTAGTGGTGGTGACCTTAGATCACCTGTTGTAGACCTTCATAGATGGTCTTTGCAGTTATCTCTTGGCCTTGGGCTACCTACTAAGATAGTCTTTATTGGAGCCATAAAAGTGAGGGATCCAGCATGCTATTGTTCAGCCAGCAGGCAGGACCCATCCAGGCACCACTGTGAGGTGGCAGCAGTTTTACCCTAATGTGCCCCTGTGAGTCTCCATGTTCTCTCCATACCAAAGGCGACAGCCCTCTTGGCGTTTACCTGTTTGATGCACAAAAGTCTGCATCGTTATGTCCCATTAGTCAAAACAGTATCCATACCTCCAATCAAAATGTATCTGCCCTCTGAACCATTCTCTCAAAAACCTTCTATCTCTACAGTATAGTTGCCATATGAGTGAAGAAGTCAGCCCATATAAATAATGTCGAATGGATGAGTTGCACTTCAGTATTCTTATTCAAAAATGCCTTCCCTTTGCCTTACATTTGAATTTTTCTGGGCCTCATTTTTCTTGTGACCAAAAGAAGGTCAGGCTAGATGAACTTTGAGTTATTTCTCAGCTCCTATAATCTATGAATACAAACGGATGGTAAAAGTTTAATCAAAGACTATTTCCATGGATATACTTCTCCTTCTGGGAATTATGATGTTCACAAGCCAACAATTCCCCCCAACTCTGGGTCAGCTAGCAAGGTATTTCAGAGGGGTATTTCATGCCTTTCTCCTACCATCTCCCTTACTAGAACCTTCCCTGCTCAATAAATCCTTCACTTCTACAAGTTCCTCAAATGCATCCTGCTTTCGCAGGCCTCAAAGATGTGCATATGCTGTCACTTCTGCCTGGAAGAAAGTTCTGACATACTTTGTTTGCCATCTTTTTTCTTTTATTAGGAAATATCTGAAACACACACAAACAATACAGAGAATAATATAAGAGGCATGCATTTACCCACAACTCAGACTTAACACATATTAATATTTTGCTGTTTTCCACAAATTTCTTTTAAAGAAGTGTTACAGACAGACCCCATTGAATACCCTGCCTTTATTCCATCCTCTTTCCTAGAAGAAAACACTGTTCTGCAGTGTTTTGTTTCATTTATCTTGTATGTATTCACTCATGATATTATTTAGAATTGTTTTGTGGAATTTTAAACTTGTATATAGGAAATACTATCTGTGTTGATTTGTTATTTGCTTTTTTGGTCAACATAATATTTTCTTTGTTGAGAACATGTAAAGCTGGTTCATTCATTTAAGCTCCTATTTCCCTTATGTGAATATATCATAATTTAATGATTCGTTCACTCACTGAATGTGCATTTATACTATTTCTAATTTTGTGCTTTTACATATAGCACCACAGGAAGCATCCTCAAATATTTCCTTGGTCATGTGTGAGAAGTTTCTCTCAAGGTATAAGTGTAACATAGAATTACTGGGTCACAGGTTATACAAATTTACTATGTATTTGCAAGTCATATAAAAGAAGAATTAGTATTCAGAATTATACAAGCTATCCATGTAACAAAAACACTTGTCCACCCTTAATTAATGTTTTGAAATAGTTAAAATAAAAATATGTATGTGAAAAAAGGAATATATAAAGAATTCCTAAAAATGTGCAAGAAAAAAACAAATGATCCAATAAAAAAAATGGACAAAGGATATAAACAGGCAGTTGAATAAAGGGAAACCCCAGTTAGCCATTAGATATTAGAAATACATTCAATCAGTAGTAACCAGGAAAATTTCAAATTAAACAAACAGATCTCAAAAGTGGGCCACTGTACATATCAAAGTGGCAAAAATTAAAAAGCCTGAGGAAAGAGGAAAGCCTGGGACAAGAGTCATAGGAGTCACCTTATGGGATGACAGTGACATGACTTACTCTCCCTGAATCTTAGTTATCTCATCTATAAAATGAAGATGATCTCTAAGGATCCTGGAAGCCCTATCCTTGGCCTCCTCTCCCTGCTCAGTTAAATATGATTCTATCAGCACTGGATTCAGGGATATGGAATGAAGGAGATACATTATTTGTCTCACCCAGCACAATGGGCCCTGCTAGAATTAAATGGACCCTGTTTTGATGTGTTCATTTGTTTTCCTTTTTCCCAAATATTTATTAACTCCCTACCACATAATCAGACATTTGCAGAGTCACCGCCCTCACAGAACTTATGGAAGAGCGAAAAATAGAAACTCCTAAAGAGACATGTCCACAGAGATAAATGTTATGATGTGGAGGAGTGCGGAGGGGCAATAGGAGGCACTATAACCCAGAGTTGGTACATTGGAGAAGAATGCCTAAAAACAGCCATGTCTAAAGGAGGCTTGAAGGTTGCATGACATCACTCAGGTGTAAGGAGGAGCACACATTACCAGGAAAAAGATAACAAAAGCATGAGGAGCAAAAGAGAATTTGAAAGAACTAAAAGACGTTCAGATCTGAAGGGTGGCATGGAAGAAGTGAAGGGCAGAGACATAAGGTGGCAACGGGTATGGAGAGCCCAAGAATATACAGGCTTTGTAAACCATGTTAGAGGGTTTAGATTTCATCCTAAGAGCGAAGGGGAACCATTAATGGCTTTAAGGAGAATGGCAAGCTTGAATTATAGTTCGGAAAGGTCCATCTCCAAGGCTGAGGACCAAGAGCCCAGATAATGATCCAGGCAGGAGGTGCCGCAGAGCTATGCCCTGCTAGTGCCAAAGGGGAAGAATGGAGGGAAATTGGCAGATCTAAGAGATTTGAGAGAGGAGGAGTCAATAGGACCTGGTTTGATTAGATGTGCAAAGTAAGGAGAGGAGCAGAATCAGAAGGGCTCTGGGTTTATGGCTTGAACAAATATGGTGCTATTCACTGAGATGCAAGTCACTGGTCATAGAGCAGAAGTGTAGCTGATGACAGTGTTGGATGGATTGAGTTTGAGGTATCTGGAGGACATCCAAGTGCAGATACGTAGTAATTAGTTGAATAAAAGACTCTGAAATCCTAAAGAACAGTCATGCCTCAAAATTTAAATTTGAGAATCATCACTAGGAGTGGGCAATTGAAACTCTACTAGTAGATAATGTGATCTAGCTAGCATATCTAGAGCCAGGAGAAAGAGAACACAGAGGGGTAGGAGAAAAAACAAGAGTGAAGTTTTACACACACACACACACACACACACACACACAAAGTAAGCAACAGGATCAACAGCTGCTGAGAATCACAAGAATTTTCTCTCTCTAAATATAGTAATCTATTCTTTTTAAGGGTAACTCTTAGAAATAATGACTTTTCAGGGAAGTCCCATAATGGTTTGTGAACCTACCCTCTCCTGGAATTGGCTTTAAGAGGTCAATTTTTGGCTACACTGGGGCATTGGAGCAGCCAGTGGAGAACTTGTCTCATAATTTCTGCAATCCCCTAGGAGCATCTACCCTCTTAGAAAGTGTCACTTCCTCCATCACCATGCTTGTCACTCACACTTGCATAGTTTTAGCGCCAAGAGGCAACCCCCAATCAACTTGCCCTGCAGCGCCAAACAAGAGCTACCAGATGGTGCAGTAGAGAGAGGTAAGGATAATAAGTCTCCTGTTAGCATCTGCGGAAACTTCTGAGATGCAGAATGCAATGGCACATTTTGGAATGTAGCCAAAATGATAGGGAAATCCCTCCAATTTTAGAAGGGAAAAAAAAGTCAACTGGAAATTGCACTGGGACCTAGTTCACGTTGGAATTGTTGCCTCCAGAAGGGCTTTCACCAATGACTACACCAGCATTGCTAGCTCTGAACTCCCCTAAAGAAAAGAGGGCCTGAGAAAGTGTTCCTCTGCTTCTTCAACCCCATCCAAGCAGCCATGTGTTCTCAAGCCAGTACCATTTATACTCTACTGGTCCAACTGCTGTTGAAACAAAGGCTTTGACATTGCTGCTTCCATTTTTTAAAAACAAGAACAAAACAGAAAAAAAAAACCCTCTCATTGTCACTTGTTGCCTTCCCACTACAGATTGCACAAGTCACAAAGGTGGTCAGGTAAGACGTCTTCAAATAATTCTGCCTCCGTGAAGTCAATAGAAGGGTCTCATCAGTGAAGCAAGACAGAGATGACAGGTAATAAAGAAGAACATGGACTCCCAGGGGAAAGGAAATAGAGTCCTTGATCTCCTGTAAATACTTATAAGGTAATAAAAGAGAGAGAGGGAAGAAAAATACACAATGACAATGTACGTCAAAACATTGTCACTCAAAGTGCATGTTTCAAAAAGGTTAAGAGGAAGAAAAGGGCAGGCACTGTATATAGAAATTTTCAGTCGTGTTTTCAAATCACTCATGGGTTTAAGGTGCTGAAAGGTCTGTAGGCCAGGGATTTATGCATAATCGGATCATTCAAAAACATATAAATGGCTGCCAGGCCAAAGTACAATGTTCACTTTTGAAATCACAAAAAAAGCTTTGTTTTAAGTAGGCTGAATCGACTAAAGTTTAGTTTCAGTGAAGCATGTTTTTGCTTTGGGTGTCATTATTTAGTTTGGCATCCATGCCAAAGAAACCTTTTTCTTACTTCAACTGTTGTTTTTCTTCTGCTGCTACAACTCTGAAAGTTGAGGCAGGACCCTGATGCTACATATTTAAATGAGAACTGGCTCCTTGTTTACCTTTGATTCTGATAAAGGGAGTGGGGAGAAGGGGTCTTGATTGCTTGCCAGGACTTGTAAAGCTGATAGTTGTGTGCCTTGTCTCTAGAATAATCTGGAAAATCAAGTTTAGCAGGTTTGATCAAAGTGTTTGCAAGTCGGTTGAGAACACTTGCATGCAATAACTATAGATACTGTATACATCGACCAGCCAAAGGCCAAAAAGCTAATAGCTTTGCCAGAGATAAAGGATTATGTGTGTTATGCTTGTGAATACCAAAGGAAAGAATTCTCCATTTTAATATGGATGGCTAAGGTTTGTACTGGTTAGACATTCAGACAAACAATATACTCTAAATCTTAAGGACTTAAGTCATGACAAAAAATTTTACAAATCTTGCTGCTATCTGCCCATTAAATCTTGTGTGGAGTGAGGGAATAAACTACATACTTCCTACTGACGGTTCATCGAGAGAGAGCAAAGGAATTTTACATACTTGCAAAATGATGTTGCTTCATTTTTCCAGAGTTCGTTTTCATCTGAAGCTTCTAGCCACAACACCTGTAGACACGAGATGATTTTGATTGAGATTGAGGGAGAAAGGGCCTGGCACACACTCTTTTTCGGACATCCTCCTTTTGGGCAAGCCAGTCACATGGGAAACATCTTGGTTGCTCTGCCAAGAAATGATTCCTTGGATCAGAGTACTGTATGTCTCGACATGAGAAATTAGAAAAATTAAAACTTGAAAAAGATTCATTAAGTCATCCGCATCTGGGCTTCCCTATGAATGAACCATCTGACTGAGTCTCACAGGCTTATTTCATGTCCTGGGCTTTTATTTTGATTTAAATAACTCAAAGACAGAGCCTTTCTCAGCAAAACTAAGCACAGCTAATTGCACCTTCAGTCAGTATTTTTTAAAGGTAGCATTAAAGAATTCCCTAACAGGTAAGCCATTGGTGACAGTGCCCCAGTGTGAATAAAGAATATTATGGAGGCCTGCAAGGAACAGTTTGACTATGATTTCCTAAAATGGACACTGTTTTAGTTGTTATTGAGAAGTCTCATGAAACAACTGCTGGGAAGAGCTTTAAACACCCACATACATACACACACACATACACTTGGCACATGGACCTGGCATTAAACTAAATTACAGGTACAGTGGTGACATATTTAAACGAATCTGCCAGTACAAGTCACTGAATGTTATGTGCCATGCACAATAATAGGCAATGCATTATTCACATTTTGTACTAATTAAAGAACTACTTTGTTGCTAAGAATGAGTGTATTAAAAACATACGTTCTTATTAACTGCGTTCCCAAGAATTAGAAAGATGAGAGGTGGATCTCAAGTTTCAGGGGACTATTATTAGGTTCTCAAAGTATTTTCTTAATCGCATGCATTTTTTAAGAGAAAGCTCAGAGTCCATATCACATAAACAAGGTCTGATTGTCGGGTTTTAAATGGCTATCATGGGGTTTTTTCTTCTTTCCGCGTTGTTTTTCCTTCTCACTCCACCAAATTTCACTTCTTGGAATCGGGACCTGAACCAAAGTTAAACATCATAAAGAAATTGACTCAGTAAAAACAGACTTTTATTGACTGAAAAGCATTTTTACAGTGTAATCTGCATTTTTGTAAGTCCTTGTGGAAAATCCCCTATGACTGAGAGGTACTTAAAGACTTAAAAATACGCATTGTCCGTGAAGCTTTCAAAAGTTGAAGAAAGGGGACAAAGGGTGGGGAAAAAACTGGTCTAGCTGACCTACCAGCCTGTTGTCTCCACAACAAAAAGACTGCTTTTATGGGCCGCCTGGTTCCTTGGCTCTGTCACCCTGCTTGGCCTCCCTATCTAGGGGTGACACCTGCTCTCTGCCCCACAGTGACACACCTGACACACCAGCAGACCCAGAATGCCCTGTCTCTGCTCCTATGACCCCTTCCTGGGCTGTCTGTCTCCCCGTCATTTCTTCCCTGTGGCACCGCCTGGTTTTTCCCTCAAATTCCCTCCATCTTTTCAGTCCTGTTCAGGCTTTGCTTTCTACTTCCGGTGTTTCTCTTTAACACGTTTTTTACTTCTCTAGACTCATTTATTTGAACAACTTCTTCATCAGACAGTCTCATGCACCTGAGGGGCCCTTCCTTTCCTCTTCACCTCAAATGGCTGAGACACAAAAGCCCCTCTGTCTGCTTCCCTGATGGCCCAGTATCCCCTCCTCACCCACAGCTCTCGAACGTCCCTTTCTCTTGTTTTCTGGCCCATGCACGTGAGTGATTTGTGTAAATGAGAGGGGATTTCCTGTCACTCTTTCTCATTTGTACCTTGATGAGCTTCTATTAAGTGAGTGAGAATGAGGTGAAATTACAGTTAATTTGCCAGAAATTATATATTCCCATGATAGCACAGAACGTTTGAACACTCTTGATCGTGTGTGCACAGGGGAAAATTTTGAGAGCCATTGCTGAGGCACACTGTGCTGACTTATTTCTACTAGATTTGCTCTACGTCCTAAATGTTGTGCTCTCAGAAAGTAGTTTTTCCTGGTCTTCAGTCTTATGGTCCTTCTGGGTTCCTGTGATACTACCTGCTGGCCTTCAGGCAAACTTTCCCTGATCGCCTCCACTCTAAAACAAGTAAGCAAAACCCAAACACACCCACCAGTCAATGTCATCGCTCTATTTCCATGGAATCCTTTTCTTCTCTTGGTCCCCCCAATGTCTTCTCCTTGCTCCATGACCTCCTCCAATCTCCATCCTGTGCCATCATTTTTTTAAATATTTTTTTCTTTTTATATATATATATATATTTTTTTTTTTTAAGACAGAGTCTCGCTTTGTTGCCCAGGCTAGAATGAGTGCCTGGAATCAGCCTAGCTCACAGCAACCTCAAACTCCTGGGCTCAAGCAATCCTACTGCCTCAGCCTCCTGAGTAGCTGGGACTACAGGCATCCGCCACCATGGCCAGCTAATTTTTTGTATATATATTAGTTGGCCAATTAATTTCTTTCTATTTATAGTAGAGACGGGGTCTCGCTCTTGCTCAGGCTGGTTTTGAACTCCTGACCTCGAGCAATCCCCCTGCCTCAGCCTCCCAGAGTGCTAGGAATATAGGCGTGAGCCACTGTGCCCAGCCATGTGCCATCATTTTTTAAAACTACTTAGAGATCTCTAACAGTCTCATAGCCAAATTTTCTGCCTCTGTGACTTTTTCAGTCATCATCCCAAGAGATTACTGCATCACATAAATACATACTGGCACTGTCTGTCACTCATCTTTAATTTCCACGTTGTTCCGTATATTCTCCCTGCTTTTGGTTCCCTAGCATCAACTCTTGCTCAGATTTCTTTCCTAGGTAGCCCTCTGTGTCTGTGATTACTCCTTTATATTTGCTTCTCCCAAAATCCCCACCCTATGTTCCCCTCTCCAGGCCTCATTGTATACCTGCTTTCTTGGACTTTGTCAAGAGTTGCTCATTTTGGCCAATGCAGTGGCTCATGCCTATAGTTCCACCACATTGGGTGGCCAAGACGGGAGGATTGCTTTGAGCCAGGAGTTCAAGACTAGCCCGGAGAATATAGCAAGACCCCCATCTCTACAAAAAATTAAAAAAAAAAAAATGAGCAAGGTATGGTGGTGCATGCCTGTAGTCCCACCTACTCGGAAGGCTGAGCCAAGAGTATCCCTTGAGCCCAAGAGTTGGAGGTTGCAGTGAGCTATGATAATGTCACTATACTCTAGCCAGCACAACAGAGCAAGACCCTGTCTCAAAAACTTTTTTTGTTTTTTAATTAAAAAATAAACATGAAAAAGAGTTCATTTTTTTACTGTCCCAAGTCCCCTTCCTCACTTGTAGGATCTGCTTTGTGTATCCCTCCATCCCTACACTATCTTCCTCTCTCCTGATATGTGGAATCCAACATGGGAAAAGTCATCCCAACTCCAACCTCATCAACACATGAAATAGCAGATAACAAAAGCAAAGATATAACTTCTGTTTTCCTTTAGAAAAAATTCTTTCTAAACAGCTTCTCCTATTAATATAGTTGGCAGCAAAAGAATACTGTATTTTTTCTTAAAATTGTAACTTCAAATAAGTTCTGAGGCTTCATAAGTTTTTGCCATAGACTCGCCAACTATGTCTTCCAGAGCATCATTTTGTAGATCTGCCCTTTTCCTGGGCTGACTTAATGATTTGGCATTGGGTGGCAGACCAATGACTATTTTCAACACACACTTGGGTTTATTCTTATAACAGGATTTATTCAGTCAAGAATTGACTTACATTTGGATACTAGTTATTGACTTCCCATAAGCAACATCCTTCTGCTAACATTATAACCTATATGCTCCAATAAGGCATTCGATTTTCATATTAAAATACTATCACCTAGAATTTTTTAGAGTAGGTTTTATTTCCCTTATATAAATAATAACTTCTATTATCTTATTTTAAATTTCCCCAATAAAAATGTTGAGCCTTCCACCAAACTGCGTATTTTCTTTTCGGTCATACATTTCTAGATTGTAAATTCATCAAAGACATAAATCCACAGCAAGTCCTGGGTTTAAAACATAAAATAGGAATATCTTATAGACATCTGAAACTCAGTATGTACTAAACTCATTATTTTTTCTCTAAATGTTATCTAATTCTATAGCCTTTTCTATGCAAATTCTTCCCAAATCTTTACCTTAAACCCTGTGTTTTTCCTGAGCCACAGATGGGGATTATAGCTGCCTGCTGCCCACCTCCACCTAAAACCACCTTGCATACAATGGATCCAGAATGAAGCCCTCCTCCAAGTCTGCTGCTCACATGGACTGTAGCCTATAAGAACTGGAAGCATGGTGTGCGATCCAAATACTGTGGAGGCACTAAAGGTGGAGGGACATCTGCTGCGTGAGATAGTGGAGGAGGGCTTCACCCGTAGGAGTCTACTGGGGCTGATTTTTAAAAGAGAAGCAGAAAATCCCCCAGGGATAATTTCATGAACAGAAAAAGAACATGATCAAGGCAGAATTCCAAAGCCCCTGCCTGACCCCAATTCCTAATGTGGGTACCCTAGTTTGGATTTCCACCAAGGCTTCACTGGCCTTCAGACTAGTCTCCTTAGCTCCAGGATCTTCCCTCTCCAACCCATCCCCTCTGCAGATTCATCTTGAATCATCCATGTCAAGAGTCCATGTTCCAGCCGTAATGAAATAGGGTCCATCATGCTGCTTCTCTACTTGGAAAGCCCTTTATTCCCTCTTTGCCAACAGTCACCATTCACCTCTGTGAAACTTTCTTGACTCCTCTGGGTAAAATTAATGACATTTTTTTCAAATTTTATTTTTTAATTTGTATACATTTATGGAGTGCAAATGTAATTTTGTTACATGGATATTGTATAGCGGTGAAGTCAGGACTTTTAATGTACCCCTCACTGGAGTGGCACACATTGTACCCATTAAGTACTTTGTCATTCTTTTACACTGTCATATCATATGGCACATCTCACAGCAAGGCCTGTTGTAGACTTAGTTGCATGCTTGTCCACCTCATCCCCCAAAACTATAAACTCCTTGATAACAGGGACCATATCTCACTTAACTGGGCTTCTCTAGTGGTACCTAACACAGTGCTTTGTATGTAGCAAGTTCTCCATTATTAAAT